GGGCTGTGTAGACTGAGACTGATGAGGATTTGCTTACAAGTCATCCACCGACTCAACTATCATCTTTGTTAAACAGCAGCTGGCTCTGTGGACCATAGTTTGTTTGTTTTTTCCAGTTTGAGCTCGTCCTTCATCAAAGTTGATCAGATACCTCAGAAATCCTGCTTCTGCTACAGGCTCCAGACATCACCTCACAGCATTCAGAGTTTATCTGAATATTGGATCAAATAAGAGTCTGTTGTAAATTGCGAAGTAGTCTGCGCTGTCCCCAAGGTGGTCATCGGATTAAAGCGCCGATGAATGCCTGATACAACACTTCCACTCTTGCCGACTTTGAATTCTTCCCACAGACTCTCACCCATGGCTAGCGCGCTGCACATCAGCATGGGAACCGAGCATGCAGTTCAGAGTTCGGGATTGTGTCACATTTATTGCCACTGAAAAAGATATCAAAGCTCTGTTGAATGCTGAGCTTGGTGACTCATCAGTACGCCCACAACAGCCACTGCTCCAGAATGCCAAGTGGCACTGGTTGTGATGCTTTTCAGCATTAGTGGAGATCAAACCCAACAAGAGAAATATTTCTTTTTCTCTCTAATGAACTTCACAAACCTCTGAGCAGCCACCCATCTGGTCAATAGAAGTTGAGTCGAGGGGCTCGTAGTTCATCTGCCCTTTGGCCCCTGCCTCCACCCCAACATGTAGAGCCACAGCTGGGCCCTTTGACAGCACACATTTCTCTGCTGCCACTGTTTGCTTCTGACTTACAACACTGTCTCTTCTTTGTAAACCAGTTGGTAGAAACATACTAATACCCACCAAACACACAAATCCTGTCATTTTGTCTTTGAGGTACTTAGATGAATGATGCAACAACAAGAGGGCGGTCTTTGGTATACATGTTACAGATACTGTGATGGATCCTGCACTTGTTTACCTTGTGCTTGTGTGTTTGGTGAGGCCTTTGTACCCTACAGAGCAGATAAAAGCTATGAGCATTTGTTCGGTAGAGTCACACAGAATAGGAAGGCCCACACTGTCTTCTCCAGTCTGAAAATCAGACATGCCATTGCTCCAGATTTTCTCGAAACCAGAGGCATGAGGACCACATCATGAGTTTCTCTTGGTAAGGTGTAAAGTGTTTCAGCTTGTTCTGCTGCTGTAATGAACTGCAAATTGAAGTCATGACGTTGTGACAGTCACACTCTTGAAGGAGAATGTACATTTGGCTTTTTGTCCTAGCTCAACATTTAATCAGAATTTCCTTTTAACAACTCCAAATATTGCTTGAACTAATTTTCTTCAGTCTTGTGTAGTTCATAGCTTCAGACTTGTGTTTGACTACTGGTGAATTATTAGCAGAGCTGTTCAGGTTCCTGTGTAACACGGGCTCATACTGTACTGTGTAATAATGTATGGTGACAACTGAAATCTTTGAAAAGCTGGCTTTTCCTGCTAAACTTGAGCTAAATGGTGCTCCTTTTAGTCACTTTGTAGCTCAGTGTGAGAGCTGAATACAAGTGAAAAAGTTCTTGGTGGCTGGTCTGTCGAGCTGTCCGTTTCACTTCCTCCCACACAACCCAGTTTGGCTGTAACCCTAGCCATTCTAGGAACACACTCAGTGACGTCACAGGCTCTAGTGCAGTGCAGAGGCCTCGGCATTTTCCGAGATCAGGTGTCTGAGCCTTTGTGTGTCTGTTATGAGCCCCACCGGTGCTGCATGGGTTGGGAGTTGCAGCTTCGTTGTTCTGCATGCTGGTCCTTGATCAGGACGCTTGGTCAGCAACCCCAGGGAAAAAAAAAACAGCTGTTAACAGTAACATAGTGCAAAATGAACCTGCTGAAAACCACATTGCTCAAGCTTTGCATCCCCAGCTAGCCTCTTCAGATGCTGACCATGGATGCAAACGCTCAACAAAATAGACATAATGATCCAGGAAATATTTTACCTCCACCTGATAGGCTTTTTTCAGCCACTTAAAGGAGCTGCCAGCAAAATTTAAATGAGTGCCAACCCTCTTCTTTAGTAGAGGTGCTTTTACATCCTTTTTGTTTTGTTTTTTTAACAGTCTTTCAGTTCAAGTATAGGCGTGTTGAGTAACCCTCTAGTTAATACCAGAATTTGAATAAGAGGATGCTTGTATTAGACACTGCAGCTGTGACTGCTGGTAGACACTAGATAACTGTTGTAGTTCTTTTATTGCCAGTGTTGTTTAGTCTGTGTTTGGCTAGTTCTTGAATCAGATAATTGTAACATGTAACCAGATACCCACTAACCTCTTTAACAGCAGTAGGTCTTGATGAAGATGATTTGTAGGCTTGACTCCTCAGGAGAGGGGAATAAATTATTAATTGAGGCTGTCGGGCTCTGACATCCTGTTACTGTTACTGAGTGGGTTATTATGTTACAATCCTGAAGCTGTAACACATCAGTCCAAAATACAGTATCTTTTTAAATAAACCTTTATTTTTAGCACTGCCCTAGAAATGTGGGTGGCTTTGATTGGAAGTGGTTTGTCTGTGTGCCTCACTCAGCATTGTCTGGCACTGATTCTAGAGTTAGCCACATCTCACATCAACACTCCTACACTCGTTCAACATATCTGTCTGGTATGTACTCTTTTTAAAATGTAGCTTTACTTTTCTTATGGAATATAGTAATACTGTAGTGGCTCTGAGCTGTTGTGCTGTTCATTTGCCCTGTCCCTCCTGCGCTAGCTCTCCCACAGCAGCAGCATCATGTTGGCTGCTGCCCTCCTCTTACCTCTCGCTTCCTGACCCTCTCTTGCTGCTTTACCAGTAAAGCCAGGAAATATTCTAAACAAAGGAATTGATCACTAATCGCACTGATTGGACCGATCTGCATTCCCACGTGTGTGTTACGGTATTGCCCTGGACTGAGGGGCCAAATATTCAGTAGTAGAAGAAGTGCTAAGATTGCTTACTTACTGTAATTCAAATTGTTACCTAGGTAAAAGTAGAAAAGTATTAGCATAAAATATACTTAAAGTATCAAAAGTAAAAGTACTGATTATGCAGAATGTCACTATTCACATTAATGTATATCATTATTGGACTATATTTATTGCATACTTCACATTTAATGTTGCAGCTGGTAAAGGTGGAGCTAATGTTAACTAGCTTATATGCTTATACTTTACAGTATGTGAAGTACTTCAAAGTATGACAGTAGCTTGTGAATTTCCCACCAGGGATCAGTAAAGTCTAGTGATTCTACTGTATTTTGTTTAATTAATCTCAGTCTGAAAAGTAACTAGAGTAAAAGGTACAATATAGTGAAGTCGAAGTATGAAGTAGCAGAAAATGAAAATACTCCTAAAGTACAGGTACCTCAAAATTGTATTAAATTACAGCACAAACATTCAGCATTAGAGTTTATGAGCTAGCATTAGCTTTATCCACTTGCACAACAGTCCGTCTACATCCATGCTGTCTACAGCGTGCTGACCTCAGCAGCAGTTGTGCTCTAACGTTAGCTTAGCTAGGCTTACTAGCTTGCAAGTAACGTAATAGGAGAGTGGGATCGCTGGGATTGACAACGTTGTGTTAAAAAAACAAACAAACATGGAGAGGAGGAGCTGTTCACAGACATCCGTCAGCATGTGTTTGCACGTGTGAGTGTGTGTGTGTGTGTGAGTGAGAAACAGAGCAGGGTACAGAGAGACTGAGCGAGTGCATGCACTACATTGAATTGATTTGGACTGAATTGAGTTAATCCATTTTAAATCAATATCTGGCAGTAGGTGATGATATTGTGGCAGCCTGCCACAAATAAATCAGTGTGTAGGAAGCACTGATCTTCTAGTAGGTAGAAGACAATTTACACTGTGTATTAGGATCATACACCGATTGTTTAGCCAGAAAAAGGGTCTGGACAAGACATTCAGGCAAGTTTTAGTACATTTTTCTAAAGGATGTAAATACTTTTGTCTGTTAGCTATGTGTTCTTGATTAGTGTCAGGTGAAGAGAGACATTTGAATTAAGTTGTGATAAATTATTGAACCATATGCTGGTAGTGGATTTCATGACAAAAATATCTGTATACAGCCAACGCAGTGTTAACAGTACATCCGACCTCTTACGTCGCCACAGGTTGCTGGAGACAGACAGCAAGTCGCTGCGCTCCATGAATGGGTCCAGGCGGAACAGTGGCTCCTCCCTGGTGTCCAGCTCCTCTGCCTCCTCCAACCTCTCCCACCTGGAGGAGGACTCTTGGATCCTCTGGGGACGAATCGTCAATGAGTGGGAGGAGGTGCGCAAGAAGAAGGAGAAGCAGCTCAAGGTGAGGCTCTTGCACATGACTTCCTGTGAAGTGACAGCAGAGTCTTGTGCAAACCTGCTTAAGAGCTCACTGAAACAAGACTGCATTAAGAGCTCACTGAGACACTTTGGTCCCAGCTGAAGAGTAGGTTAAGAGAGTAAATCTGTAATTTTGTAAATGTGCTTTGTGGACATTCATGTTTGATAATAACCTGTTTGACTAGATGATGTTGTTTCTGCATGGAAATGGATTGACATTTTATATGAAGGTTAACAAACAGGCTGCACAGCCTTTCTTGTGATACCCAAGAGGTTCATGGGCCTTTGTATCGAGCACTGACCTGAATTCTACACTAGCCTTATCTGAATGTTTGTTTGGTCCAGAAATACTTTCCAAGGCTCTCTGTGTCCCAGGTGACCCTGTGGTGTTGCCCTTGAACTTGTTATTTTAGTTCTTGACATCTGAAGCTAAATTTAGGTGGCTTGTTTCTACGGTTACTCTCTGAGGTCTCTGGGTCAGTGGTAGGCTGATTTAAACTGCACATGTACAGTGGGAATAGTGTAAAGACAGTAACCACAAAAACAGAAGGCAGTGTTCAGTCCTGTGTTTGACCACCTGAAGGTTCCTGATGTTAAACTGCGTGCAGCTAAGAAAGTTAAGGTGTTCTTTCTACTGCTGCATGTTCATTGCAAAGACGTTTAATGGCATTGATATGAGAGGTTTATGTTGGCTGTGTCATTAATGTCATGTCTCCTGAAACCTGCCTGAACCATTGAACTAAAACTGGAATTCTTCTTTTGGCCCATTTAGTTTTCAGCATTGAAAGTGCTGCCCAACAGTTGTGCAGTGATAGTGACATTCGTGCTCAGCACCCATGACTGTGTCTCTCTTTGAACCCCGCTGGTTTTATTCATATACAAAAATGTGTAGACATGGAGCTGCTGTTCCAGGAAGCTGTTGATGAAAATAGCCATATGCAAATGGGACTGACAGGCCCACAGCAGGGGCAGGGTGTTTACTTGGCACTGCATGTGTGAATGGGGAAGTTTTGCAAAGGTTATGTGAGTATGCATGGGGTGCATCTATGTAACTTACCAGAAGTAGTAATGACCAGATGTGTGCAACTAGCCTGGGATATTAATCATATCTGCTGAGGCGTCCGCATTGTTTTTCCTCCCGGTCTACAGATAAACCAGTTTCTGTTGCATGAAGGAAGGAGCCTTTAGTTTTCTGTGCTTGTCAGCAAAACCACAAATGTTCATATTTCATCAACACCTACCACTGTTACAGAGAACTTTGTCCAGTATTATTGGGAACAGAAACCAAGGCTAGTTGTAGTGGTGTGACTCAGATGGCGGCCTTTGTCCACACACAGTCAAGATACTGTATTAGACGGTGCATTGTTACAGTACAACGCCTGGTTTGTCTTGTCTAACCTCTGAGAGGGCAGCAGGATCCCCTGCTGAAAGCCTGCGTTGGTGGACCTCTGCTCCAGATGCACCCTGCACTGGCCAGATGCATGCACACATGTGCGCGGCCATGCACACTCCTATCACAGCGGGAACAACCAGTGTTCCCTGTCAGCACAGGAAATTGCTTAATCAAATTGTGTCAGCAGCGATATAAGGAAACAAATCGCACGAGTGCCTCCCTGACAAAACAATATTTTGCAGTGGAAATGTATGATCATGAGATGCACACTGTGCTGAAATAGGAAAATAAATACTAGAGCTCAAAGCATGCCCATGGCTGTATCGTGTTGTAGGAAATGCAAGTGTTTCCTCTTTTTCTTGACACCAGACACGTCTGTTTTGTTCTACTCCTACATGTTCTGTTGTCCCCATTGTCCGTACACCGTTTTTGTTGTTCACGTTCAGAAATGAACAGTGACAGTTTCATTGAAATCCCTCATTAATGCCTTTAAAACACAGATAAATTCATTTCAGCTTCACAGAGCATCTTTTGTTTTTCCACAGGATCTTGTCAGAAAAGGGATTCCTCACCACTTTCGGGCCATCGTGTGGCAGCTGCTGTGCAACGCCCAAAATATGCCCATCAAAGATCAGTACTCAGAACTCCTGAAGATGACGTCACCCTGTGAGAAGCTGATCCGCAGAGACATCGCCCGCACTTATCCCGAACACGAATTCTTCAAGGAGAAGGACAGCTTGGGCCAGGAGGTGCTTTTCAATGTGATGAAGGTAAACCTGCGTTTGTGTCTGAAGAACATGACTGCATGTATAATCATGTACACAGATAATGCAAAGAGGTATTTTTTGTTAACAGTAGTTTCAGGGTAAAACCTGTAAGAAGAGTAAATCTGCAGTGGACCCATGTAGAAACTAGAGATGCACCGATCGGTCGGCGGAGTTGGGAAATGGCTGGTTTTCAGTGTGATCGGCCGTTCACGCTGTGGTTTCCGACTCTGTGCCAATCAGATTTAGAGCTGGGACTGTTTATGTCATGCACACAGTGACACAGACCCAAACCATAGCGTATGTGTGTTGGGGTGGAGTGGGGGGATCAGAACCATCCAAGAAAATTGCGATTGGTGCATCTCTAGTAGAAACGTTTATTCTTCTGACTGTCAGTGAGACTCATCCAAAGCTAATTCTTCTGATCCCAGGCATATTCTCTGGTGGACCGTGAGGTCGGCTATTGTCAAGGGAGTGCGTTCATTGTAGGACTGCTACTCATGCAGGTAGCCGTCTTCACCACATGTCAGCGAGCAGTTTGACTGAATAACAGACCGATTTCGAGGTTTGATCTCATCCTTCTGTTTGTCTAGATGCCAGAGGAAGAGGCTTTCTGTGTGTTCGTGAAGTTGATGCAAGATTACAGATTACGAGAGCTCTTCAAACCCAGTATGGCTGAGCTGGGACTCTGCATGTACCAGTTTGAGTACATGATCCAGGTAGACTTTGTACTCCTCTTGTGCTTTTTCTGTCTGACACCTGTATATTTAACAGTTTGACATAATGTAGTCGTGCAGGGGTAATGGTGTCTGATTGTTCCCTGACAGGAACAACTCCCAGAGTTGCATATGCATTTCCAGGCCCAGAGCTTTCACACCTCCATGTATGCCTCTTCTTGGTTCCTCACCATCTTCCTCACCTCCTTCCCTCTGCCCGTTGCCACAAGGATCTTCGATATCTTCATGTGCGAGGTCAGTTGATAGGAGCTGTGGCTGTTCTAAGGAGTTATCAGCTGCTTTGAATGCCATCCTTTGTCTACTTACATGTACTGTATCAGCCTATAAAGAATTTGTCTCGGTGTAATTGCCAATCTATGTATTTATCTTACAGTGTACATCTGAATTCACTCCCTGTATTTGACTCTTGAACCTTTATTCTTTTGCTTGTTTCTAATGTTTGTGACTTAATAGTTGAACCTTCCCTGTTGTTGTCCTTACTCCACGTCACTGTGACTAATGGTGTCTAAAATGCACAAATCAAAAAGAAAGAAGAATAAAACCTTAATTTTGCCAGATGGAAGGTTTTCTCCTTTCTTCTCCTGCTTAGAAAAATGACCTCATATAAATTACACATGGCATGAAGCTGAGCAACATGGAAAGGTTATCCATTAGCACCACCTGTTGGAGAAACCAAACTGTAGTCCACATTTCACAGCACGCTGGCTGTCACATCAGTGCTTTCACTAAACAGTTCTCCAGTGATCACTGGTGATCTCTGTCCTCAGGGTCTGGAGATAGTGTTCCGTGTGGGACTGGCCATCCTTCAGATGAACCAGGCTGAGCTCATCCAGCTCGACATGGAGGGAATGTTACAGGTACCGTTCACCATAATCTCTACAGAGCCTGTGATTCAAGCACCTCTGAGTTGTGGTGCCAAATGTGCAGTGTCCTCAAGGGATGAACCTCCGCCACAGCCACTAATGATACACATGTCCTCCCACTGTGTACCAGTGCACATGTCGAGGTTTGAAGCGGTGCTTTGAGGTCAGAGAAATGCCTGAGCGAGACAGCGGAGCGTGTATTTGTTTGAAAGTAGCTGGTTTATTGGTGTGTGGCACTCACCCTGCCTCCGTTTCCACACTGTGCTTCAGCACTTTCAGAAGGTCATCCCACACCAGCTGGACAGCGGACCAGATAAGGTCATCCAGGCTGCTTATCAAGTGAAGTACAATGCCAAGAAGATGAAAAAGTAAGCACAGCTGTCATGTTTTCTTTGGGAACCTCAGTGCAACTCTCACGTTCCCCTCACATACTGTACTTCTGTAACATTTACCTTTCGCTAACTATTTCATAACTTTATATTCAGTTTTCAGCTCTGACTACATTCAGTTGGCAACGGCAGTTTTGCAGTGTCCAGATTTGAGATTCATAAGGTTTTAGCTGGCTTGGCTTTTTTCAGATGCTGATATTCTTAATTGAGGCTACGAAATCTATAAATGATGTACTTATCTTGTTATGTTTAGAATACTGTGTTTCTTGTTGAGCAATCCTATATCTTATAGAGCCATAATTTCCAGGGCAGTTCACCAGAAACAACTGTGTAATATAGTACTAATTATGGAAAAAAATTATTTGGAAAGAAAAGCTTTGTTTAAATTCAAGTAAAGATTATTAGTACAGTTATTCTTTACGTGTTGAACTCTGTGTTTACCAGTAGAGAGACAAACTAGATTTTTGTGAGCCTCTCCAGGTCATGCTAGCGTTTAAAGGGACTGAATTAAAGCAGCAGCAGTATGCTGCTATGTTCTAAAATTTCTAAGTTGAACTATGCTTCAAAACACATTTTAATGTGGAGAGCTGCTCCGGGCTGTCGGTCGATACTCGGAATGCCTTTTTGGTCTGCTGCTCTTCTTGTCATTGTGGCTGACTCACAGGCTAACAGGCTCCTGTTTCCTGCATTAGCTTAGACACAGAGCACAACGCGGATGTAGGTGAGGGGCTGGGAGGAGCATTGGCAGAGCAGGGAAGGGCAGGGGAGGGAGGAGCCCAGTGGGTTGTTGTACAGCCTCATGCCTGCGCTAGCTTAATTCCCACAACTCGCATATTGTAGATTGAAGTGAAGGTTTACCAGATGAACACAGTTTCTGGTTTCCCTAAAAATTGTACTGCAATATATTGGTCTTTTCAGGATTTTTTAAAAGAATTATTTGGAAAGCCCTAGAGATGAAAGCAAGCTTTTCTATTTTAATCATTTAAAAAATATTCATCCTTGTTTTTATTGCAGCTGTTTTCTTCAGTCCTCCAGCCCACACTAAACAAATTGTCTTCACACTAATGGGGTCTTCTTGATACATTTTTTTTTCCCAGGTTAGAGAAAGAATACACTACAATCAAAACTAAAGAGATGGAGGAACAGGTGGAGATCAAGGTGAGGAGAGGGAGTTAAATCTGAACTGTGATACAGGATTGTCCAGAAAGCTCAGCCATGCCAAATATATGATCCATTCTGTGTCACTTGAATTTGACATTTCTTGTTCTGCAGAGGCTACGCACGGAGAACAGGCTCCTGAAGCAGAGGATAGACACACTAGAGAAAGTGAGTGCAGCAGTATTTGTCACAAGTGCTCCGTCACTACACACACCAGTCAGACAGTGCTCACTGCTCATCGGCATCACATTAACCCTTCCAGCTGTGTATGGCCATGCATCATACATCACCTCCTAGTGATGGAGTCTGGTCTTTCACTAACTGGGCTGTGTTCGTTGAAGGGTGTTCATTTACATGATAAAAGATTGTTGCCTGGCACAGTATGGTGACTTGTCAGAAACAAGTTGGATTTGTACTTGAAGTTGTCTTGGTGGCTTGTGTGTGGCTCAAATAACTTCATGTGGTGAATTAAAAATTCACCAGACACAACTAACCGCAGCAGAGATTGTTAACAAGCCTGTTTGGAATGTGACAGCAGCTGCTTGATGCTGTCTACGTTGATATGAAGCACTGCATGCCAAGTTGCACAGTTTGTTTTTGTGTCTCTATGAACGGCCACTACCACTGCCAGGTAAAGGCACCATGCATGAGGTCTGCTGTGGAAAGCGAGGGTGTCTGCTGCGCCAAATTAGCGTGGCGAGAGGAACACTGTGGCCTGAAGAAGTCTGTTATTTAAAACCACCCCGAGACTGCTGCCCTCTGATGTATCTCTGTCATGTAACTCCCATTCAGAAGCTTGGAAGTACCACAGCAAAGCCCCGAGCTTCTGTTCATAGCTCCTTAGTGCTGTTAATGTGCTGCTCTTGTACCATACTTCATTCTCAGCTTTAAGTAGAGTTGCCTGTGCTTCTTCCTGTCACTGTGTTATCAGCACCGCCTAGCTCTTCACTTTGTCACCAGCTCATTTGCACCTTTTTTACAACCCCTGCATGCAGTGTTCCTTTTCTACCTCTGAATGTAAGCATCAGTCTGTAAACAAATATTTCTGGAGGGAAAATGAACATTGCATTCCTCTTCTGAAACAATCGGTTGTTCTTTTGTGTGCTTTAAACTGTCCTCTGGATTGTCTCTCTCTTTCCTGTCTCCTGTTGATATTTCTGTTTTGTAGGAAAGTGCTTCCTTGGCAGATAGATTGATCCAGGTACACTGCTCATTTTCTCTTTACCTTTTATTACACATGTTGCACCTTCCTTCTTTCTGTCTCTTAAGCATCGCATGCTTGTGATTAGCACAATGGGCACAGTAAATTCCAGGGGCTAGACAACAAATGTACTAATGATTCTCTGATTAGACCCAACTAAACCTGATTATGGTTAGTGATTACAGTATTTAATATGTGCATGGGATACCACAATGTGACATGTCAAACTTCACAAATCATGTTGAAGGTAGCTAAGGAATTAAAATTGAAATCATAGGTTGCTAGATTTAAAATAAGCATGTCCTTACAAAACCCAATCCCTCACCCTCTCTGATTTGCCCACCCATCCGCCCTCTCGTTTCACTTCTTGTCCTGCTCACTTCACTGCTCCTCGGGTGGTTTTGTCCCAAGGGACAAGTGACTCGAGCTCAGGAGGCAGAGGAGAACTACCTGGTCAAGCGGGAGCTGGCCACAGTCAAACAGCAGAGCGAGGAGGCCAGTGCTCAGCTGGAGCAGGCCAAGAAAACCATCAGGCAGCTCCAGCAGCAGCAGCCACAATCGGTAAGGAGGTGCCACAGAGTCTCTAGCAGGCAGGATGCACTGGCTCAGCTCCTGGTCAGTCTGTGACACTGAGACACATGTGTTTGCGTTGTGCAGTGCTGAAAGCTCAGGCAGTTTAGGATTACATGGTGTGCTAGAAGTGACACATGAAGTGACACCTGGTCCAGTAAGAATGTAATTTCACATTGTCACAGTCATATGTCTGCCAAGCTCAGCATATCGCCTAGCAACAAAGATCAGGCATCAGCGGTGCAGGGCTTTTCTCACTTTGCACATCCGTTTTGCATAATGAGCTGTCGTGGCATGCATGATTTCAAAATGGTACATGGAGATCTACACAGTTCTGCCAGCGTTTACAGTATTGTGCATTCTCAGAAATGCTTACATGAATATGGAAGCAGCTGTCTGACAGGCTGGTCGATTTCACACATGGCACCCTGTTCACAGAATCCTCCCCCTGCATTTCTATTGACATGACATTCTTAATTATTGATTGTTGGATTCCAGTTGAAAATGTGCGAGCATCACCCTGTTTTACATAACTTGCTATCCTGCTTCACAAAGAGCAATCATGGATAATTTATGTGAAAGGCAAAATGGTTCGTGGCTGAAATTAGGGTTCTTTGTAGTAGAATGACTAGAGGCATGTTTCTTTCAGAAGAATACAGTACATATGGTATAAGCTGAGGCTATTTAATAGGCTGGAATTATTTTGGGGCCCTGGTTCACATTACTGCAAGTTGGATATTTTTCATGAGATGCCATTGTTGTGGACACACGGGTACCAGTATTTGTAGTTCTGCTTTGCAGTCTCTGCTCACTCGCCTGTCTTGGTGGTTGTAGAAGGGAGCCCCTCGGTACTCTGAGGAGTCTGTTCTGCAGCTGGAGAGAGAGCTTGTACAGGCGCGACTGAAGGAGGCCGAGTCCCAGTGTGCACTCAAGGAAATGCAAGACAAGATCCTTGATATAGAAAAGGTGAGTTGCCACAATATTGTTCTGTGATCTAATTACATCGTTGTCCACCTATTGCTAGTTACCTTGTTTTCCCCACACACCCTCCTTTAGAGGAACACAGCACTACCAGATGACACCAATGTGGCACGACTACAAGAGGAGCTGATTGGGGTGAAGCTGAGGGAGGTGGAGGCTGTGACTGGCTTGAAAGAGCTGAGACAACAGGTCAGAGACCTGGAGGAGCACTGGCAGGTAGGCACCAATATTACAGAACAAGACTATTTGATCAACACAATTTTCAAAGTGCAAAATGCCAACATTTATGAACTGGAAAAGAAAAAAGGAAAGTTTTTTTATGGCAGTTTATTTGTTCAGTGAGTCTGTGACACCTTTCCTCAGCGTCACCTGGCACGCACTGCTGGTCGCTGGAAGGACAGCCCCAAAAAGAATACCTTGAGTGAGCTGCAGGATGAGCTGATGAGTGTGAGACTGCGTGAGGCCGAGGCCCAGGCAGAGCTCCGAGAGACACGGCAGAGGATGCTGGAGCTGGAGACACAGGTCAGAGGTCACAGCAGCCTTTTCAGAGTCCTGTACCGGGTCGGGTACCTGCGGATAGCCTACGAGTATTGGCAAAAAACAATGTGTAAAATGTAAAGAATGTGTTTATATTAATTCATGGATATGGGATATGGGACTACATGTGGGCAGGTAGCGTGTGAAACAAATTAAAAAAAAAATAAATAAAGGTGCAGCTTCTTTTAAACATCTAATCCAGCATCATTTTATCAAGGCTAAATAACTGATACATTTATTGTGAAGGCCTGTGACACAACCTTTGATCCCTCAACTCACATCCAGCTAATAGGACGTCACTCAGACAGCAACATAGGCGCCAATGTGTCAAACCGGATAACCTCAAAGCAAAAATTGTCAGTGGTGAATACAAAATTATAATCACAAGCAGCAGGCTATGCACCTTATCACTAAAGGAGCAGCTGCAGCGCCCAGGTGCTGTGTCCATCGCCAGAGGCTTTTCCAAGAACACTTTTCTCAAGCACCTTAAAGTTAAGTGACTGTGTAGCCTAAATCCTATTTTAATTACGGGTCAGGTCGCGGCTCTTATTTTATTGGGTTGGATCGGGTTCGGATTTCATTTAGAAATAACTCCTGGTAACGGGTTGGGTCCAATACAGAGCTTTTCAGGTGCTGGTTTTCAAAATTGGACCCATGCAGGACCACATTTAATCTGATCCAGCTCAGTGATCGGTTTGGTTAATGTTATGTCCTGCTTTTTCAGTGTCTTAGAATTTATATCCTTATAATTCAATTAATAACAGAGAATTAAAGGTATATTTTAGTATGTACTGTCAGATGAGCAGCAAATTAGTTGTGTGAATTCTCTACCTGTACTGTCACACAGCAGCCTTCAGAGGGCAGCAGTCATCTGCTGTACTACTCAGGAACTTAAGTGTGAAACAGTTCGGCCGCCACTTTTCTCGTTTGGATTTGTTTGACATTTTTGGATATGTCATATAAAAAAAATAAATAAAAATCTTAAAACTTGTTAAATGTTTTTGCTCACACAGAATCAGATTCACAGTAACCAGCTGCGGCGGGCTGAGCAGGAGAGTCGCTGTCTCCAGGAGCGCATGCAGACACTAACGGTGCAAAATAAAGATCTGAATGTGCAACTGCAAGGGATCAAGCGGAGGCAAGCTGAGATTGAATGCAAGGTACATGTCTGTTGCTGATCTGCACCACTTAACACTACACACACACACACAGGGAAAAACAACCACTGGCCTGTTGTGGTGTACTCTATGGAGAATAATTCCAGGAAGGTTGTTTGAACTATAAACACTTTTTAACATGAACATCTGGACAGTTAGAAAAATAAGACAAGTTGTGTTAATTTCGCTTTGAGGCTTGAGTGTTTTATTTGGTTTTATACATTTACAGTATCTTGATATTAAATAAGTTCAGTCTGGTCTGTTCGGTATCCAGAAGGAGGAAATCACCTGCTCTGATAGTATCAGAGTGCGGCTGGGTATGCTGATGCTGCTAGATCTGTGTTGGTACTCCCTGTCTGTTAGGAATTTCCCCCTGCAACACTGACACCAACACACAAACAGAAAATACACAAATGTTGAACAGTAACAGAGGACATTGAGCCTCACTTGGGCTTGCTTATAACTGTTGTTGAAATATGATTGGCTTCCTTTGCTGAGAGTTTTGTCCTCTTGGTTCGTCTGCAGAATAAGGAAGAGGTGATGGCAGTGAGGCTGAGGGAGGCTGACAACATTGCTGCCATGGCTGAACTCCAGCAACAGATCTCAGAGCTTGAGATTCAGGTAAAGTCCCAACACTCCCCCTGTCTGTCAACACCACCGAGTCTCGAGACAAGACCAAAGTCCTGAACTTTGTTTCAGTCATCATTCACTAATCACCAACTTAGTGCCAGTTCAAACGTTTAGACACAGTAACAAACAGCGTGAGTGTAGTACAGAAATAATAGTTCAAAAAAGTTACATTATTATTTTAAAATAACAACCTTCAGCAGCATTATAGAAAATTTGACTCTAGCTTTGAATTTCTTATTGAATTTAAATTCAGATTTCAACATTTGTATCAAAAGTTCAAAACAAAGATTTAATTGAGATGTATTAGAGAGGCTATTAAAGACGCATCTGATGCATTAAAACCACTGTGTTCTACTAGACTAGTAAACTGAAATCCAGGAGGTCCTGATTCACAAACCCATGTCTGTGAGCTTAAAACGCTGATAAGACATCACACTATTGATGCCTTTGAATTAGGCACAGTATGATGCAGGAGTGTTCATCCACCATGTAATGTAAGATACATCACAGTTAAACAGGGCCCACATTAACACTGTGTAGTTAAAGAGATGTGAACATGAAAAGAAAATACATATTGTTTAAAACTATTTGCTGGTATTTTTTTGTTATTGCACATGTCAGTAGCTAGCAGATGGTCCCTGGCTTCACCACACTGATGCACCAACAGGTGCACGCACATCTGCATGCACATCTGCAGGTTCCGCCTGGTTGGATGCTTATTTCTAATGAAAGCAGAAGGTTTAACAGATTCTTCATCCATCTGGTAAAGATTTGGATGTCGGATACTGTGTGGACACCATTTGCAAACATTTGAAGTTTATGATTCTGGTGGATTTGACACATACCATGTTTTGGAGACAAAATTGTTTTTTTTAAGTGTTTTTTTTAATCCTTTGCATCCTTCTTAATGTCCTAGACTGTGTTTTATCAGTATGGAGGGGTTTAAAGATGGTCAGCCTGCAGGTTGTGGTGCCACTTGGTGCTGCTTGTCTTTAGTAAAATACTTCAGGCAAAAGCTACGGTTTTCCAGCCAGCTTCTTTTGATTGTGGCAGGGTTTGCTGTCTCACGGGGGTGAGTTTTAAAGACTGTGTCTGTGTCGCAACAATGAAAAAATGAGAGAGAGAGAGACGTAGTCCCTAAGTTGTCTGGCATCTTGTTCAGGCGCACAACAGCTATGTTTTTCTGATTATAAATATTAGATTGTTGTATTATTATTATTATTATTATTATTATATATGTTGGCCAGCGTGTGCCAGAAAATAAATCACCACCATTACTAAACTGTCATCCCCTGTTCCCAGTGAGCACTGGCCCACTGCACTGACTGCAGTGGTCCCCATAGCCTGCCACAGCCTACTGTTTATAGTTTGATAAACGGCCATTGGAGAAATGTGTCATTTAAAATGACAAAAGACAGAAGTGTGTTCACCTGAATGGTTTCATGTCTGAATGTGATAATGTGCTGGTTAGATTGAGGGAGAGGTGCATCTCACAAAGGGCTAAAGTCAAAGTCACTGGCATCTGGTTGAGTTGCAAGTCTTTTGATTTTATCAAGTCGAGTCTGGAGTCAGATTTATGACCCACCACCGTCCAAGCCACGGCAGTCGACTTCCCACCTCTGGTTTGTAACATCACACTCCTGCCTCTGCATCGAGTGCTGGATGACAGCAAATAGTCCTGTTCAATTACTGTAGTAATCCATATTATAGCTCGACTAATTAAATAGAAACAACAGTCCATTATCACTTTAACACTTGAAGATCAGTCAGTCCAGAAACAAAAACCACCAAATACTGTGATGAACCTGACCACCCCTAGAAAGCAGGAGCAGGAGTTGCTACTGAGTTCGTTAGAATTACAAGTGTCAGGAGTTGCCAAATACCTGCTCTCAGTTTGGAGCCTACATCAGTGGTTTTGTTCAAGTAGCAGATGCATCTCAGCATTTGGAGTCTGTAAGAGTCATGCCTTCATGGTTGAACTGCTGCAAAGAAACCACTGAGGTAGAGCATTAAGAAGAGGAGAACTGTCTAAGTCAAGAAATGCAAGGAATGGAGATCAGACCAGTAGAAATCTCTACTTTGGTCTGAGTCTAAATGTGTGATTTTTGGTTCCAGTTGCTGTGTCTTTGTGAGACAAAGCTGGTGAACAGATGTATCTACAGTACATGTGTGGTGACTGTGAAGCATGGAGGAGGAGTTGTGATGGTGTGGGGGTGTGTTGCCAGTGACGCAGTCAAAATTTTATGTAGAATTCAAGACACTTTTACCAGCATGGCTACTACAGCATTCTGCAGAAACATCTCGCTTGTGCTTAGTGCCGTGGTTCTCAAAGTGTGGGGTGCGCCCCACTAGTGGGGAATAAAGACATGACAGGTGGAGCACAATGAATGGAGAAAATTAGAAATGGGTCATTAATACAAGTAAATTAAAATAACATCAGTTCAGGGCCTGGGAGAAAAAAGTGGAACCATAGTGCAGCAATAACGGTTTAACGTCGACATGTTAACTGCAGCGCAACAATATAAGGAAACGTTCACACAGAGGGCCAATAGTGTACGTAGTGGGCATAATAACGTAAATGGATAAACTTGTTACATCGACCACAAAAAAGCATACGATTCACCGCAAGCAGACAAAGAAACAACAAGCAGTAGCCTTATCAACCAAAGAGCCAGCTGAGAAGAAAATATGATGAAGCCTATTGTGAGCGAGGAAAACTCCAAATGTCTATGGCACTGGTCAGTCCTTATAACACTATGGTCACCTCGGTGTGTCGGCCAGAACACCACTTAAGGCCCATACATTCCCAGAATGAATCAGGTGCTTGAAGTTGCAGTTAATGATCCTTTAATCCAATTTCTCATACAAAGATTACATGTGGGTGTGGTTTTCCTGCAAATAATATAGGTACAAATACAATGAATAAGGATTTAAGATATATGCACCTTATAAGCACATTACCGTATGCATAAGTATAATACATATTAACGTAGGGCTGGATGAGCAAAGTATACAGAGATCTGTTATTTATAAACTAATTCGAAATTAAGTTACCACACATGCTTAAGGAACACATCCTGTATCAGTTACAAACAAACCAAATGCTGTTATTGTGAAGGTCTAACCCGATATACCACCCCCGGTGGAGTCACAACCCCCGTTTAGCGGTATATGTGATGAACCCGTCTTTAGCGTCGTAACATACAATATATATTCACAGAAACACCATGCAGTTTATAGACACTGGTAACTTAAACAGTGAAACTGTAAACGCACTATGAACCGTGCACAAGAGAAAACAGATCCTAGGTCGAGCCAAATCATTCAACTAAGGCATACATGAAACGAAAGGATGTGCATAGCGAGAATAACAA